AGGTAAATTCCATTTCTACTTCTATTTTTGATCATGCAAGTGATGATGAAATGACATATGAAGATTTGCAAGATGCATTTAATGAATTATATGAGCATTCTAAACAAATTAGTGCAAAAAATGCATTTTTAAAAAGAGAAATTCTATCACTTAGAAAAGAAAACAATGATTTGAGAGTATCTTTAAATGAGGAAATGATAATTAGTCAAAATATGGAAACTGACTTGGAAGAGTCAACAATTGCATTTAGAGATTACAAACAAAAGTTGATTGAAGAGCATGGTAAGCTGGTATATGAACTAAAAAGGAAAATAAGCCATCTTGAAAGTTCTCTCGATTGTATTGTGAAAGGCAAAGGTAAGTTTGATAACAATTTAAGTTCTCAAAGAGTTCCTCATAACAAAACTAGAACTTTCTTTGAATTATGTAAGCCTCCCTCATCTAAATCTACTGTTTCTGTGAAATGTAATACTTTGCGTTCTTATGACATAGTAGAAGCATCAAGTTCTAAAAATAATCATGTTCATCATTCATCTAATCATGATATCATTTGTCATTATTGCTTGAAAAGAGGTCACTATATCCATCAGTGCTACACTAAGAAGAATATCTTTAAGATGAATTTGAAATGGGTTCCTAAGAAAACTTCTACTTGTTTGACTAACTCAAGTGGACCCAAGAAAGTTTGGGTACCAAAATCAAGTGTTTAAATTGTGTTTTCAGGGAAGCCTCAAAGAAAAATTGAAGAAAGAAAAATGGTATCTGGACAGTGGGTGCTCTAGACATATGACTGGAGACAAGTCACAATTCTTGAACCTTAAAGCAATGGAAGGAGGAACGGTGACATTTGGTGACAATGCAAAAGGCCACATCAAAGGTATTGGCAAAGTAGGTAAAAATTATGGTTTAATTATAGAAAATGTTTATTATGTAAAAGGTCTCAAGCATAATTTGATTAGCATAAGTCAACTATGTGACCAGGGGCACAAAATTATTTTTGAGTCAAATGCATGCAAAGTGTTAAAACATTCATGATGATGAAGTTCTGTTTGTTGATAAAAGGAAGGGAAATGTTTATATTGTTGATTTTGATGATTTATCTTCATATAATGTAAAATGCTTAATGGCTAAAAATGAAAGTGAGAGTTGGCTATGGCATAGAAGGTTAGGACATGCATCCATGCATTTGATTTCTAAATTATCTAAGAAAGATCTAGTTATAGGCTTGCCTAAACTAGTTTTTGAGAAAGATAAAATCTGTGATGCTTGTCAACAAGGTAAACAAACAAAAATTTCCTTTAAGTCAAAGAAAGATGTAACTACATCAAGGCCACTAGAACTTTTGCACTTGGATTTGTTTGGCCCTATTGATGTCACTAGTTTGGGAGGTAAAAAGTATACTTTAGTAATTGTAGATGATTATTCTAGGTATACTTGGACTGCATTTTTGGCTCATAAGAAAGATACATTTAGTGAATTTACTAAATTTTATAAAATGGTGCAAAATGAAAAGGGATTCACTATTACATGCATTAGAAGTGATCATGGAGGTGAGTTTGAGAATGATAAAATGAAAGAATTTTGTAACTCAAATGGAATTGAACATAACTTTTCTTCTCCAAGAACTCCACAACGAAATGGAGTTGTTGAAAGGAAAAATAGAACCTTACAAGAAATGGGCAGAACAATGCTATGTGAAAATCAATTACCAAAATATTTATGGGCAGAGGCTATTAACACAGCATGTTATATTTTGAATAGAGTTCTAATTAGGTCAAACTTGAATAAGACACCATATGAATTGTAGAAGAATAAGAAACCAAATATTTCTCATTTTCATGCATTTGGTTGTAAATGCTTTGTGCATAACAATGGCAAAGAAAATCTAGGAAAATTTGATGCTAAGAGTAATGAGGCTATTTTTCTTGGGTACTCATTAACAAGTAGAGCATATAAAGTTTATAACAAAAGAACTTTAGTTGTAGAAGAGTCCATGCATGTTACTTTTGCTGAAAATAATGTTTCCCCGAGAAAGGTTGTTTTGGATGATGATGCAGGTGAAATTCAAACAAGGTTTGGAGAGCTACATCTTGAAGAAAATTCTGGAAAAGGAGAAGGCTCACAAAAACATAATGATGTTCCTTGCCAAGACTTTCCAAAGACATGGAAATTCAAGAAAGATCATCCTAAAGAACAGATCATTGGTGACATAGAAAATGGGGTAACAACAAGATCTCACTTTGATTTTGTCAACAATTTTGCATTTATTTCTCATATAGAACCTACGAATGTCAATGATGCATTAGAGGATGAAAATTGGTTCTTAGCAATGCAAGAGGAATTAAATTAGTTTCAAAGAAGTAAAGTGTGAAATCTTGTACCTCGTCCTAGTGATCACCCTATCATAGGTACTAAATGGGTTTTTAGAAATAAGTTAGATGAACATGGTCATGTTGTTAGAAATAAAGCAAGACTTGTTGCTAAGGGATATAGTCAAGAGGAAGGTATAGACTATGATGAAACATATGCATCAGTTGCTCGATTAAAATCTATACGTATGCTATGTGCATTTCCATGCCATATGAACATGAAACTTTTTCAAATGGATGTTAAAAGTGCATTTTTAAATGGATTCATTAAGGAAGAAGTTTATGTTGAGCAACCCCCTGGTTTTGAGGACCCCCATTTCCCTAGATCATGTATTCAAGTTATCTAAGGCTTTGTATGCGTTAAAACAAGCTCCTAGAGCTTGGTATGAAAGACTAAGTGGGTTCCTAATTGAAAAAGGTTTTTCTAGAGGAAGAGTTGAAACCACTCTATTTATAAAGCATCATGAAAAGGATTTCTTAATTGTTCAAATCTATGTAGATGACATAATATTTGGTGCTACTAATGAACTTCTTTGTGAGAATTTTTCTAAGCTTATGCAAGGAGAGTTCAAGATGAGTATGATGGGAGAATTAAATTTCTTCCTTGGTCTGCAAATCAAGCAAAGTAATGAAGGGATTTTCATTAACCAAACAATGTATACCAAAGAGTTGCTGAAAAAGTTTGGGATGGAAAAGGCTAAGCCTCAACCCACACCAATGAGCTCAACCCTCAAACTGGACAAAGATGAGCAAGGTAAGCCTTTTGATCAGAAACTTTTTAGAAGCATGATAGGTTCATTATTATATTTGACAGCTAGTAGACCTAATATTATGTTCAGTGTGTGCTTGTGTGCTCGTTTTCAATCTTGTCCTAAGGAATCTCATTTTACTGCATTAAAAATAATCTTTAAATATCTTATAGGAACACAAAACTTAGGTCTTTGGTATCCCAAAGGAATGAATTTTGATTTAATTGGTTTCTTAGATGCTGACTTTGCTGGTAGTAAGATTGATAGGAAAAGCACTAGTGGAACTTGTCAAATTTTAGGAGGTGCTTTGGTTTCTTGGTTCTCAAAGAAACAAAATTCAATTGCCTTGTCAACTACTGAGGCTAAGTATATTGCAGCTGGTAGTTGTGCAACTCAACTTTTGTGGATGAAACAACAATTAGAAGATTTTGGGTGCAAACATGAAAGTATTCCAATTAGATGTGATAACACTAGTACAATCAATCTAACCAAGAATCCAATTCAACATTCAAGAACAAAACATATTGAAATTAGATATCATTTCATTAGAGAACATGTGAACAATGGTGACTTAACACTTGAATTTGTTAAAACTGAAAACCAGTTGGCTGACATTTTTACCAAACCTTTAAATGAAGAATGATTTTGTTTAATAAGACATGGCATAGGGATGTATGATCCAACTTGTTGAACTTTAAGTATTAAAGTCCAGTTGTATTAGCCTTAAACCAAATAATAATAATAATAATAATAATAACAAAAAAAAATTTAAGGGTTCGAAGAGGGTGCGTTTTTTATTTGAACCTGTTCTCACGGGTTCAAAGCAAACAGCAAACAATTGTTATAATTATTGTATCAAAAAAATTAATTATTAACAATAATTTAAAGATGGGGATGGGCCTGCTTTACTTAACCCAAATACTCTTAATCTTTCCTCCAAATACTCCTCCTCTATAATCCGAGCAACCCTAGATCTCAAATTTTTTTTTCAGTTCTCCATCTCTTTCTTAAATCATGCCGAGGAGGAAGACCTTAGTTCGCAAGAGTAGTAAGAAATGAACCAGATCTGAGTCAATTCTTCCATCTCTCCTCATCAGGTGTCTCCAGACTCTCCAGAGCTTTTTGAGGAAGTTTCGATGGAACCTATTACAGGTATCTATCTCAGGGACCCAAAATCTGTTGAAGCTTTTACCAAAATTTATGCCAAGAAGAAAATTTTATCTAAACACTGTATTTCTAATGTCATCTTGAATGATCAAAGCCTTAGGATTAAGAGATGGTTAGAGGGTATGGGTTGGTTAAAATTTGTTACCCTAAATTGCAGATCTTATCCTAGGTTAGTTAAGGAGTTCTACACGAACTATAGATATTCTGATACATTTGATTCTGCCTCTTATGTTCGAGGGAAACAAGTGGTTTTTGATGCTACTCATATCAATGAATTATTTAATCTTCCACATGATGAAATTAGCATGAGTTTTGACAAGTCCAAAATGCCTGCAACTAGGAAAATTGTGTTTGGAAACTCTGTCAGTCCTACTAAAAAAATTCATCTTCATCACTTTAGTGCTGACACCAGGCTATTGTTGTAGTTTGTGACAAAAATTCTTTGTCCTCGACAAGGTTCACATGGTCGTTTTACAAAAGAAAATCTTTATGTCATGGGACTGATTATGAAAGGCAATAAACTTAACTTGGGGGCATTAATTATTAGCCACATGAGAAAGGCAATGAATTCCGGTGAAGAATATTTGCCTTATGGTCACCTTCTTACCAACTTCTTTGAAAAATGGGAAATTGATCCTTCCAAGGAACAATCTGAAGAAATCTTTGAAGATGAAACTCTGACTGAAACTACACTAAAAAGAATGAAATTTGAAAAGAAAGACGGTACTTGGGTCAAGATTAGTGATTCACCAGAAGTTGAAGGTTCGCTGGGTAAAGTCTTAGCCAACATGGATCTCTTGAGTATCCAAATTGAAGCTGAACTCAGCTCTAAATTTGCTGCCTTTGAAGCTAAAATGAATAATCATTTTTCCATGCTTGAATCTTCCCTGAACAACAACCTGAATCAACTGGAAAAATCTATGGCAGCATTGACTAAATCCAACAAGAAGAAATGTCCATCATAGTCACCTAGATGCAATGCTTTGTGCTTATTTTGATTTATTATGTTTATCATAATTTCAGTATTTTGTACTCTTACAATTTCTAACTTTTGTGTACTGCTTATTTGTGTTTTTGAACCCTATGCTATGCTTTGTGCTAATGTGCAAATTTCTTTTTGCTAATGACAAAAAGGGGGAGAGGAACTTAAAAATGAAAATTATCTTTATTTGTGCAAATCCTGTTGAATCTTGGAAGCATATTTTGAGGGGGAGCTTACACTTATTATCTTTATTATTTTAAGGCATGGTTTTGTCATCATCAAAAAGGGGGAGATTGTTAGGTTCTCTTTGTATTTTGATGATGATTTAAAACCATAATTCAAAACCATGATTCAAAAAGTTTAATCTATTTTTGTGCTAAGCGTGCAAGAAAATTAATCCAAGGTTTCTAATCTTTCCCTGCGATCAGAATTAATTCATGTTCTCCTTGTTTAGAGTTCTAGGTTCGAACCAATTTATTTTGGTTCGAATCAATCCTGAACTTTTGTTTTCCAAAAATGGTTCGAACCTTTATGTCTGGCTTTGAAGCAAAAATTCTGGAAGGGTAAATTTTGACAGCTCAACTATCCGTTTATTTTTATTTTTATTTTGAGCCTTAGGAGAACCAATTGTCTAAGCCTTTCCAAAGTCAAGTCAAAAATAATAAAATAGGTGAAATCTCATTGAAGCATATGTGAGGTGGCTTTGAAGGGCTAAATAGACTTTAATTGCAAGGCTCCAAAATCCCTATTATAATGATCAAAAATTCAGATCTAGAGTATAAAGAAGAAGGATGAACTGCTACAAAAACTGAATTTGTTATTGTTCTGGGTTTCCTTCTTCTTTTCTTCTTGTGAGCTTTTGGGTATATTGTCTTACAAGGGTTTTGTATTCTTCTTGGTTGGGTTAATCCTTGAAGGGGTTGAGTGAGTTGAGATTCACTTGTAAAGGTTTAATCTTGCACTCGTAAGCAAGAGATTTCTAGTGGATTGAACTCTTGAGTAAAGAGGCTTGGGAGTGGATGTACTCCAGGTTGGAGGAACCACTATAAATCACGGCTTGATTTTCTCTTCCCTCTCTTTTATTTT